TTTATACATGTTTTGGTTTTATTGCTTTCAAGTTTATACAAAAATGGTTTTGTGAAAATAATGTTTTATTAGTTTATAGACTTAACAATCATAACATAGATCTTTTATTAAGTCTATGAAATCAGTTTATGAAGTTTCAAAACATGATGTAGTCAAAATGTCAAACAAGTATGTTTCATTTTCATGTTTTGGACTATTTTGAAAATTAAAGAGATTTCTTATTTGGAAGATGTTATTTGAAAACCAGTTTTTGTAACATGTGTATTATCATGTTTACAATCATTTCTCAAAGTTTTATAATTTTTTGAATTTGTTTGCTATTTTTAAAAGCAGTTTAAAAATTAGATTTTTGCTTTAAACAAGTTGTATACTTGTTATCAGTCGACTGGTCAGTCGACTGATACAATCAGTCGACTGATGAAAGTGCCTACAGTTGCTAAAAAGTTTCTATTTTATTTTGGTCGACTGACCAGTCAACTAATAAGGTCATCAGTCGACTGATAAGGTCCGTCAGTCGACTGATAAGCTGGAAAACGCCTATAACGGTCAGCTTATCAGTCAACTGATGAAAGCCGTCAATCGACTGATGCTGTAACGGCTAGTTTTTTCAGCCTTTTACATATTTGGGTTTTTGGTCTTTTTGCCTTATTTTCTCTTGGCTTTGGGGTTCCTATAAATACCCCCACACATACCCTCAGTTCAAAAAAAATAAGAGAAAAGTTTTAAATAAGTTTAAGGGTATTTAAGTTTGGTTTAAGTTTGTTTTAAAAGAGTTTATTTGTGAAGATATTTTTACAAGAGGAAGAAGAGACCATCCTTTGGTGTTTGAGCTTCAACTCATCTCTCTCTCTCTCTCTCTCTCTCTCTCTCTCTCTCTCTCTCTCTTGATCTATAGAGAAGTTTTCCTAACTCAATTATCTAGCATTTTTATTATTGAATTTCATATCTATATTATTGCTCGTTTATTCTTGAGTTAGATTTCATTTATACTCTTTGTTCACACACAATCTATGGAGCTTATTGTATTTGCATACATGGTATAATTTGGGTTGTGGTGTTTGTGACATTGAGAGTGAGCTTGCATTGTGTTCTCATCTATTGTAGAGAACAATTTATTTGTATTGAGAGCTATTATTGTGAGGTTCACTTTGTATTACACTAGTACACCAAAAGGAGTGTGTGGTGAGAGACGGGGTCATCCCAAAAAGAGTGGGGTAGGTGGTAATGCCTAGAGAGAGGTTGTAATTCCTAATACTTTAGGGAGACACGGACTAGAGACCAACACTTGTGGTGGTAGTTAGTGTGTTTACATTGTGAGTGATTATAAAGTTTTCAATGAGATAGAAAACCGAGTGTGAGGTGTAAACATCATTCGGGTGAGCGTAGAAAATCCGGTTGTGATAGTAGAGATCTCCTCGGGTGAGGAGCGGAGATGTAGGTCGTGGGGACCGAACTCCGTGATCATATCTTGTGTTTGAGTTTGGCTTGGCGCACTTATATTTGTGTTCATCTTTATTGTCATTCTCTCATTGTTTATTTCATCCACTATATTATCTATATTTATATTACCCTTGTTTAGTTTAATATCCTTACATATAATTGTTGCATATCTTATTTTCTAGGATATATTTGTTAATAAGTTTTTAATTGGTATAAATCGAATTAGATTAGCATAAACCCTATTCACCCCCCTCTAGGGTTCCTTCCTTGTGGCGTTAGGGTGCTTTCATCAACTACCTCATCTCCAAAAGTGAAGAGCTCCCGTGCATTATTCTCGGCTTGGCAATGATCTTTAGAAGTTGTTTTCTTCCTCTTCCTCTTAGAACCCTCGACTTGAGCTGGAGATTTACTCAAACCGAGCTTGGTTCTGATCTCATCTACAGGCGGCTTGTGTAAAGTCTGCAGCTCCTCT